AGGATGCCCGGCTCCCTTCCAGGACTAACATGAGTTCTTTCTGTTTTGTTTTATTTTATTCTTGTAATTTTAGTTCTTTGAGGGTCTTGATTACCCTTGGATTCCACAATAACCCAGCATCCTACCCAGAAGCTCCCTCCTCTGCTTGCACTAACCTGAGCGTGTTTTTGTTACTCACAACTTTAGCCCATCAGTACCTTCCAACAATCAGGCAAACCCTTCCCCCTGAGACCCCGGAGGATCACACGATGGGCGTCGGTCCGTGCAGAGGTGCCACCATCTTTCTTTTCCTTGTGGCTCCTCTTCCTAAGCCATGCTCATCACAGAACGATGCCCCATGTCTCCTTGGCTCAGCGTCTTCACGGTCTTTGAAGCCGAATCGAGGCTGCAGCTGCTGAATGGGCGGGTCAGGAACAAACGAGAAGCTGGCACTCCCTGGCCACGGCTCTCGATGTCCAGCTCAAGAGCCTCCAGGGAAAACAAGCGGTGAGGAAGATGTTGGTGTGGGCGGACTCTGTGATTTGATCAAGGGTATGAAAGTAACACCAGCCCTAACTGGTTTGGCTCAGTGGATAGAGTGTCGGCCTTCGGACTGAAGGGTCCCAGGTTCGATTCCGGTCAGGGGCATGTACCTTGGTTGCGGGCACATCCCCAGTAGGGGGTGTGCAAGAGGCAGCTGATCGATGTTTCTCTCTCACTGATGTTTCTAACTCTCTATCCCTCTCCCTTCCTCTCTGTAAAAAATCAATAAAATATATTTTTTAAAAAAGAAAGTAACACCAGCCCTGTGACACCCACAGTGAGATAGGAAAGAAAGACCTTGATCTTTGTTTCAAATGATTAAACCTTCAGAGCACCTGTGCAGCACCCCCCTCCCCCCCCAGCCCCGCCATTCTGCACTCAGGACGTGTGTGGTCCTGCCGTCAGCCCACCTTGGTTTCGAGAGAGCCGTTGGCAGAGGGGTGGAACCTCTCTAGGAGGTCATGACCAGGCCCACATGCTCCTTTATTCAGGTTGGGCTTCGTTATGGTTTTCAGAAGGACCTTTTCCTTTGTCTCAAACTCTCCATGACTTCATTCCTGCCTGGGAAGCAAACAGGGAGATCCCTTTGCTGGGATTTCCAAGGATGTCAGTGGCCAGTCCCTTCCCATGAAGATCCTTGGGTGCATCTTGGTCCCTTCCCATCCAGGACCTCCCAGGAGCCGATGTTGCCCATGACACACCATCTTATTCCAAGTCAACTGTGGATTTTTGGAAAGCTAAGATTACACAGTGACGGAAAAGTTGATTAAAGTTAAACTTTTCTGTCTCTTCTGTTGGCTCTATTAACAACGATATTAACTAATACTTGCTATGTGCAGGTATTATTCTAATTTTTCTGATTATTTTCTGTATATAAACCATTTAATATTTTAATAACAGCCCTAGGGGAGAAAAAGGCCATTGCCATTTTACAGATGGGGAGCTGAACACAAGGCCAACAGCTTGGAAGTGGAGAAGTCAGGATCGGAACCCAGCCCGACTGGTTCCAGACAATGGCAGCAACCAGCAAGCTACGGACTCAGTCTGCCCCGAGGGGAGGCAATTGTCACTCAGAGAGGTCAGGTCACTTGAACAGCTGGTGGCTGGTGGAGTTAGGATTCAAACTCATCTGTCTAGACGCAAACACAGTGCTCCTTCCGCTGGACTCACTTGGCCCCCTATGAAGGGTGAATTGTCTTTTATTGAGTGCTCCGTGCCAGCCACTGAGCTGTGTGTTTTTATGTATCTTGTCTACAAATTCTTTGATCTCTACCTGTTGAGGGGTGTGCTTTATGTCCTCTCTCCTTTGACCCGAGGCAGACTCTGTGCTTTGACCAAGGGTATGGCAGAGTGACACTCGATGATTTCCAATGACAGGTCATAAAAGGCCACGCACCCCACCACATGGGTGAACCAGCTCAGATGCCCAGCTCAGTCCAGCCTTCGGATGTCTGCAGCCCCACCCAACATCTGACTCCAACCTCGTGAGAGACCCCCAAGGAAGAACCATCCAACTGGGCCTGTCCCAAATTCCTGACCTACAACATTATCAGCAAAGTAGAGTGGTTGTTTGAAGCCACTATGTTTAGGAATAATTTGTTACACAGCAGTGATAACCATAACATCTCATTTGAGAAATGCTAGCCCAACTGGGCTATTAAAGAGAGATACGAAATATCTCAGAAATGCCCAATGGGTTCACACTACAGCAAACCCAAACTCCCTAATCCCTTCAGGCCACCTGGTCTAGAGGTCAAGGTCATGGGCACTGGGCTTGGACTGCCTGCAGTGGAGTCCCAACCCCATCTCTCAGTAGCCAAGTGACGCTGGGCAAGTATCTTCATCTGCCTGAGCCCCAGTTTCCCTGTGTATAAAACAAGGCCAACAATAGCCACTTCCCTCACTGGGTGGTGAGAGGTTCACAGGCCGCTGCCGGTGAAGCCCCCAGGACAGCGCCTCGCACAGTATGTGCTTGCTGAAGTCAGCAGGCAGGGGTGGGCATAGCCAGATGCCAGGCCAGGGAGGCTCAGTGGGGTAGACAGAAGCAGCGAGGCAGATGAGGAGAAGACCACAGAGGGAGAGGCAAGAAGAAACTGAGGGAGAGAAGAGGGTGGGGGTCTGGAAGGTTCTGTTGTGTGCAGGGTGCTGGAGCAGTGGCTGCCAGGCCAGAGGGGAGTTGGGAGCCTGGCTGGGGAACGACATTGTTTAGTGCCCTCAGCTTGCAGCTCTGCCAGTGGGAAGAGTGTCTGCAGAGCTATCCTGGGTCAGCAAGGAGCCTGCAGAGTTGCCATAAAAAGCATCATTAAGGAGGTGGAGGTCCGAGTTAGAGTGTGAATATTTCAATATTAAACCCACCCCACCCCACCCCCGCCCTGCCAATGGTGTGCCCATGAGAAATTAGATCCTGTGAAGCTTTCCTTCCCCTCTGCTGGCCCGGAGACCCAGTTTATTGCATTCCCCTGTACCCAAGACATGTGTTTGCTTGTTTTATAAAGAATTGCTTTAATTTTTTTTAAAATAGATTTTTATTAATTTCAGAGAGGAAAGGAGAGGGAGAGATAGAAATATCAATGATGAGAGAGAATCATTGATCAGCTGCCTCCTGCATGCCCCCTACTGGGGATTGAGCCCAAATCCCAGGCATATGCCCCAACTGGGAATAGAACAATGACCTCCTGATTGATGCTCAACCATTGAGCCACACGGGCCGGGCTGTATCCGAAGCTTAATGGTACACAAGGTGGTGGCAGTTCAGTGGGCAGGAGTGTGAATTCAAATCCCGGTTCCTCCACTTGGGAGCTGTGTGGCCTGGGGAAAGTTACTTACACCCTCTGTGCCCAGTTTCCTGATGATTACAGCCTCAGAGGATTGTTGTGGGGGACAGGATGCTGCATATGGGGCCGAGTACCTGAGAGGCATTTGTTAATAGTCCAAGGTTTGCCCTTTGTCAAAGTGAGGACTGTGGTTCTCGAACAAGTTGGTTCACCCCTGGATACATCGATGCTTGGAACAGAGCCCAGTACATAGGTGCTTAATAAGTATTGAATGATTGAGCGTCAAGCTGAGAATGATGTTTCAAAAACTGAGAGAAGAAAAGTAAAAGAAATGAAAAAAGGTAACAGAAGATGTCTACATTGTTCTTTATCTGCATTTGAGCTGCACCAAAATCTTAGGCAAGAGTTTCCAGCTTTCTGAATCCATGTCACACATGCCCCACCAGTCACCGAGGCATCTCCGTCCCTCATCCCTGCCCTAGTCGTTCCCCATCTGTATTCCCCTGTAAGCTCTGACCCATCTGGGCGCCCCAGGCCCTGAGATCCCAGAGGGGTCTTATCTGAGCCTGCTCACCACTGCATAGCACAGGGGCTGGTGCGAGTGATTCAATGGGAGTGGCAAAGGTATGAGTGATGAATGAGCTGGTTCCGATGTCTTCATGCAGCAGGGGGACAGGCTCCTCCTGTGTGCTGGCACACAGTAGGGCCACACTATGTGACTGAGTGGGGAGCACAGAGAGGGAGCCCTTCAGCTTCTCCAGCCTTGTTTATTCTCCTTGGGCTTACATGCTTCAAAGGCTATTCCTTCTTGGCTCCAAATGGTTTTGTTACAGTAGTAAGAGCAGAGTTTGAACCTGTGCTGCTGCCCCCTAGCTATGGGACTCTCTTCTCCAGACCTCAGTTGCTAAATCTGTGAAATGGGATAATCTCCATCTCAGGGATTCCTGAGAACATGTATTTGGATAATGAAGGTAAAGGCGCTCAGCCTAGAACATGGGTGAGGGGTTTTACTGCTCTCATCCAGTATCATCTCCTAGTCTTCTCATTTGCACTTTGAGAAGAGAGAGCAAGAAAGAGGGAGGGAGTGGGGAAGGGAGGGAAAGAGAGGCAGAGACAGAGAGGAGACAGACAGGGAGAGAGAAGACAGAGAGGCAGAGGCAGAGACATTGACACTGAGTCGGGGTGGCATGCGTGAAGTTCTACCCATGTGCAGAGGATGGGAGTAAATATAGCAAGTGTGTATTCTGTGCCACAGTTTACGGGGCCCACGCCCTTCCGGATTTTATTCCTACAATCCCGGGAGGTCACCTCCCTATTCCCTTTTTCCAGCAGAGAAGGCATTTTGGTAAATTTGCAAACCTCTAGTGGAAAGCGCTTGGCACCGCGCCGGGCCCCTAGTAAGCGCTCAATGGAACCGATACTTTTATGGTCACGATGAGGAAACTGAGCGCGTGCTCTTCTCAAACCCAGCTCTTAGGGTGCGGGTGGTCCCGGACGCGGTGGGGCTCGC